ACAAACGTCAAAGAAACCAGGAAAACTTAAATGGGACGAGTTCGCATTAAGTATTTTTACAAGAACTCGTCCCGAAACAAGACTACCTACTATTGACTTGGTAATAAACAGAAGAAAAGCTACAGCGCTTGTGGGTACTGCTTGTTCGCAATCAATCATCACCAAGAAGTTACTGCCGCCTGACTATAAAGTGATTCGTGTAGTAAATGTTGCAACAATGGGCGGAATAATTCGATGCGAAGAAGTTAGTGCTAAAATATGCCACCCAACGAACGGGTGCTTGGTGAATGTGGTGGTTCTGAGTGTGAATGAAGTAATAAACAAATACGACATGATTATGGGTATGGACTTAATAAAGACGTGTGAAGGACTACAAATTGACACTGGAAAACTGAAATTGTGTAATTCTTTGATTGAATTGTCATCGAAACTTCGTGTTGCGACAATTGAAATTGGAACAAGCAAAGCTTATTTTGATGGCAAAAAGTGGATTGTAAGTTGGGAGTGGGAAAACAAACCTAAAATGAAAAATAGAACAAGTCAGTATAATGTAGCTGACCAACATTGTGAGGCGTTTAACAACAAAATAAATGAATGGATCAAAGAAGGTATACTCATCAAATAAGACGATAAAATTATGGGAAAACCTAAAGGTCTACTACCATTAATGTGTGTCATTCAAGATAACAAAAAGAAGATAAGACCTGTGCTTGATTATTGTGAGCTTAACATGTATGTAAAAGCCTCTACAAGAGATGCTGATGTCATCAATGATGCAATGAGGGAGTGGAGACTCATGAGCAAAAACAGCAATGACTCGGTAGTGGATCTAAGAAGAGCATATTTACAAATTCATGTGCATAAAAGGCATTGGCCTTACCAGACGATCATCTATAAAAATCAGCGATATGCACTTACACGTTTGGGCTTTGGTTTAAGTTTGGCACCAGTGATGATGAGCTCAATATTGCGGTATGTTCTCCAACAAGATTCTGCACTGGCAAAAACAACAAGAGGGTACATTGATGACACCCTTGCAACCAATGGAAATGGAAGAAAGCTGGTGATACATATGAAAAAATGGGGTCTTCATGCAAAAGCACCTAAATACTTTGGCGAAAACCCAGTTCGTGCACTAGGATTAGAAGTCACAGTAAATTCATTAACAAAGGAGATGTTTTGGAAGAGAGGACGCGAGCTTCCTATTATTAAATCTGTGCTCACAAAGAGGGATATATTCTCATTATGTGGTAATCTGATTGCTAATCTATCAGTTGCTGGATGGTTGAGACCGGCATGCAGCTATGTAAAAAGATGTACTAACGAAGCAGGTTGGGATGAACCTATTACGAATAAGTATGTTATCGAAATGATGCAGGAAGTTGTAGATAAAGCCGTAAAGTGCGATCCGGTAAAAGGTGTATGGAATGTTAAACCAAATGCATCTCTGACTGTATGGTGCGACGCAAGTTCGCTGGCAAAAGGAGTTGTGATAACGCAAGGTGACAGAAAAATAGAAGATGCGACAAATCACAAGTTGTGATTTTTTATTATTATAACATTTTGTATAACGACCACTAATTGTTGACAAGAGTCACAAGTTTAATTTTTAAATACTATATATAGTGAACAAATTTGTTGTAAAAACCTGAAGATTGTTGATAAGTAATAAAAACATTAAAAACAAAATGGCTTCTAAATGCGTTGAACAACAGTTGTTGATCAAAAATACAGGCATGGTCTTACCACAATTTGCTTTCGCATTTGTTTTTGTTTTTTTTTACAATCCAAGAAAATCTTTTTCCATTTCCAGATGGTTTTTCAACAGCATTGATAAGTTTTATTACCCATTTTGATGCCATGTTTAATAATCATCACATAATCTGTGATCTAAATGACTTAAAATTATCTAGGAGAATTTTAGAAGGTTCAAGTGATGACAATATTGTCTCTAACAACTGAACATTCATTACTGCACTTTGATTACTTAATGGTGTCTTTAACATATATCTGCTAGGACCACAATCAATACACTCTTTCCTGTACTTTACTAACAGCAAGATTTTTTTTATCCGATAAAATCACATCAAGATCAATAGAATTGCATGCACCTATTCAGCAAGAACTTGTTTTACTGTGTCTCTGTTAATGGGTATACCAGCATGTTTACAAAACTCCATACTCTTTGAAAATTCCATGTTTGCTATTAAATGAATTTCTTAAGTCTGCTAATTATCACACCTAAAAATAGTATTACATTCTTGTGTAGCAGCTTTGTTGTGTATCCATCTTGATAGTACTCTTTCAAACTCATCAGTAATATTTTTTTGAGTTGGCACCTATGTTACATTTACATTTGAGGCATAATCCTCAACGAATTTCATGAATACTTGCATCCTTTTACAGGTTTGTTGCAAGTTAATTCAGATTTAAACCAACTGCATACACTATGAGAATCAGTTTTAGTAGAGACATCACTCAGGTTCCATTTCAATGCAATATTCAAGCATTAAATACATGCATCCATCTCAGCTATGTTGATATGCATTGCATCAGACTTTGTTTGGGGCCATGCCATATCTTCTGGTTTAAGCTACTTGCATCACACTAAACAGTTAAGAATGCATTTGATGCCCAGCCATCTTGTTGTTTAACTCATTTAAAAGCCATCTTGTTTTTAATGTTTGTTCATTAGTTATAAACAATCTCGTCTTGTTACAAACTTTGTTCACTATATATTCATTTAAAATACAAACTGTTATTTCAATATGTTATTTTTAATATGCTAATATGTTTGCAATAATGCTGTTTTGTTTTATTTTAAAATATTTTCATGATGTCTTATAGTGACATAATCTGAAATTTGCAATTTTTTGGTATTTCTGATTTTTATGTCTAATAAACCACTTAAGGTTATTGACCTTGGTAAATTGACCATGTTAAATTAAAATATTTAGATGAAATCTTAATCTTAGAAAAAAGAAAAGATCAAATACTCAACCTTTATTTCAAATACTCAACCTCTTTTTCAAATACTCAACCTCTTTTTCAAATACTCAACCTCTTTTTCAAATACTCAACCTATTTTTCAAATACATAACCTCTTTTTTCAATTGAAATAAAAAACCAATATTTTTTTAACTGAAATGAAGCAAATTTAAATTTTTTAAATTAAAGCAAAATCTAAATTTTTCTGAATTGAGTATTGGTTAAAGGTGCATTGCCAAATGTGTATAAAATTTGTTGAATGTTGATATAAGTTCTTCTTTAAAATTGAGCTAATAGGACACTTTTAATATTCGATATATCAATTTTGCTTTTTTTTCTTTCTCTTTTAAATTCTTGATTAAACTTTTTCTACTCATTTTTTGACTTTGTAAATTAAATAAATTTCATTAATTTACTTTAATTTGTTTTGTAAACATATTAATAAATCTTTAAATTTGCAATCGTGAAATGAATTATAAAAATTAACTATTCCAATTTATTTTTCCGATTATTTTAAATTGAAATGCAAAACGAATTTTTATTATTAGATGTTATTATTAACATTTTAGTTGTTTATTTACTTATTTTTTCTCTTTTTCTTAGTTTTAATATCAACTTATTTGCTATGAAATAACAAATGCTTTTTTTTTAAACTTAAAATTTATATTTTACAAATCACTATACGTTGTTGTATATTTTATTGGTTTTGTTTTTGTTTAATTATTATAATCTAAAAAAACTTATTTGAATATATTACTTATTACTATTACAAGATTATTAAAGATTTGCTAAATATTTCTCTTTACTTGAAAGATTTGCTAAATATTTCTCTTTACTTGAGATTTCTTTTAAGTTCAAAAATATTTTTATTCTATAGCTAAAGTTCTCATTAAATAGTTTAATTAAAAATAATAATAATGGAATTAAAATATTTTAGTTTAGTTCAATGATATCATCAACATTATTGTTTTGTATTTCTAGTCATCATAAATGACTAGAAATACAACAGTTGGCGCGAATCATGGGTGTCATGACAACTAAGACATTTAACTTTTAGTTTAGCTATTTTGTTTTTAAGCTTAGAAAAACTATCAACATTTTTTGATAAGTTTTTTGTTTGCTGACGATATAATAATGCAGGTAAAAAAAAAGTTAAAACACTCTCTTGGATTTATTTAAAAGCTTAAACTTCTACTTCTAAATAACAAAAAAATGATAAAACTTGCGATTTCTAAAAAAAATTTATTATTTCGTTAATTACCTTAAAAATGTTGAGTTAAGCAGTTGTTTTTTTTAAATAAAAATGTTTTTTTAGAATGTCAGAAATTGTTTTCGTGAGATTTAGTGAAATGTTAGTTTTAAAAAGACACTTTTCAAACAAGTTTTCGAATAAATTCATAAAAAATTAAAAACAAGTTAGATTATTTGCATATATATATATATATATATATATATATATATATATATATATATATATATATATATATATATTGGTCATAAGGTTACATATATGTTCTTTGCGTTTAAAATTTGGCTTGTAGTGCGCATGAAGTTGTTGAAAAATGTTTTTAATGCTTGAGTATGCTCTGTTCTCGGCTTTTAAAATGTTTAAAAAAGTCGAACGATGAATATCTTGTATTTGTGCCAGGTGTTTTTTAATAATTCATGATCTCAAGTTTTAGACTGATCTTTTCAATAGGGTTTGCTTTTGAAGTGTTCTTTTTGATTGGTCCGCTATTCTATTCAGGTTCGCGAATACGCTCAGATTTTAATTCCAATTCATCAACAACAAATTTTAATGAAATTTGAAATGCTTCTTTTTGCATTTTATCTTGTTTGCTCATGATTATTGATAAGAGTGTGTTCTTGTTTTAACTAATATTATTTGATATTCGTTCCTCGAAATGGGGACAAATGTTGCCGATTTTCCTCATGTAAGTCGCTGTACAAATATATCTGAATAACTTGCGTGGTATTTACATTCGTAAATTAAAGTTGACTTTTCATTTTAGATTAATAAAGATAACGCTAACTCCGCTGTAAAAAAGTTTCAACAGGGAAGTGCGAGCAGTTCAAAATGCTTTGCTTGTGGAAAGACTGTGTATCCAGTAGAAAAATTGGAAGCTGATAAAATGTTATTTCATAAGTTCTGCTTTAAATGTGTCACGTGCAATAGAACTGTTGGGTAGGTGATTTTCTACAAAGCTATAAGTCCGGAAAATGACCACGATAATTTCAGAGGTTAAGTAATTTTATTTTTACAGTAAACGGTGAGAATCTAGCAGACGTTTTTATTGGTGATATTGAATCTGCTTCTGTTAGTATAATTTGAAAAATAAAAAGTTTTAAAGTTATTTTTTAGTTTCTTTTGTTTGCCTAAAGATTATTACCAATACTTATTTAGACTTGGAAATTATGCTGCGCTAGAAGGAAAGATATACTGCAAGCCTCATTTGAAACAACTGTTCAAACTTAAAGGTTAAACACGCGACGAATAATGTTTTTAAAATCAATAATATACAGTTATTTTTTAAGTTCACTTTGACGTATTAGTCAAAATGTTTATTAAAGTTTTTTCTTCCTCAGGTAATTATGACGAGGGGTTTGGTCGCGAACAAAGGAAGTCTGATTGGTTGAAAAAAGATAATCCGACTGAAAATCGATCTAGCAGCTCTGTAGATAGTAGTGTTTGCAATAGTGCGGATAGAAATGGAGACATTGGAGAGGTGATTGAAAATGGAGAAGAGTAAAAAAGGAGAAAACAAGCGGGAGGGGGCTATTTAAACGTTTATTTGCATACCACTCGATGTATTGCACGAAACTACTGGCTACACGTTATATATTTTAATAGTTTTTTTTACCAGGATGTTGAATAGTTTTTAAAAGTTTTATTTGACCCTGTTTGTATTCAAAGTGTTTTCTCTAATTTCTCTATTATGATCGGCATAAGTTTTATAGATTGGTTTGTGCCTCGATGAATAGCGAATTATAACGACGAATATTTTGTGAAGTTTAAAATTAGTAGTTTTGGGTACGAGAATTTCTTGAAAATGGGTTGTTAGCAATTTGAAATGGTTTTTTGCTTTTTTATTTTTATTTTTTCGATTATCTAAGAAAATTAGTAACCTTTGTATATGATATGACATTTTTAACAGATTTTTATTCGTTAGTCTTTTGTTTAATTGTTTGTTTATATATGGTTTATTTTTAGCTTCTAAGATTTTAATAACGTTTGTAGAAAAATAATTATTTATAATTGGCAAATGTAAAAGTTTTTTGTTTTTTTTTTAATTATAAATTTACATTTGAAGGCGTTTGCATTATACATTATACACTGAAATTGAAATCACAAATTCACACTGAAAGGTTAAATTCAAGACTGTTTGAAAAAAGTGTTTAGAACTTGGTGTTTTAATTACACAAAGTGATGCAAAAATTAAAAAGAAGCAAGCTAAGTGAGTTGCAAACTGCGGTGTATCTAGAAATTCATAATGATTGCAACTTTCGAATACAGGTTCTTATCCTAATATTAGGTTTGTACTAAAGGGTGAGGGCAACATAAAATGTTTTCGTTTTTCTATTTTAAATTTTTATCATTTCTCATTTTTATACAACCATTTGAAACATTTTGTTTACTTGTTGTGTTGAAATTTATTCCTTTGGAATTTGTCTATAAAATACGTACGCTCTTAGGGAACAGTAATTTAAAAAAATCAAAAAGGGGCATAAGTTCCAAATTTGCGAAAGTCTGATATAAAATGTTTTGATTGTACAAGACTTTTGTAAATACACCAAATTTTCGTATTCTGGAAGGCTTTTTTTTTAAATCACTTGAAACTTCCCCGCAGAATGCGAAAATTTTTAACTTTTATTTTTCAAACCACAGCTGTGAGATTCCAGCTATTATACACTGTATACTATACAGTGCTTTCAAAAAAATATATATGCGCAGTAAAGTTTTATTTTTTTGTTTGTTTTTGTTTTTGTTTTTTTAGGTACCCCAAGAAGACCTAACGGTCTTGTCACAGAGTACGCAGAAGTGCATTTAACCAGGAAGTTCGCACCTCCTTCCTTACCATGACGCGAAAATATGTCCACAGCTCGTTTCGAACCTGAATCTCTTGCTTATAAAGCAAGCGCTCTAATCACTGTGTCACGGCCAGAATAATTTATTAACACTCCCGTCTCTACTTTGCAACCTCGGTACAACAAAGGTGTTACTATTCTTTTCAATTTAAATCTTTTAACAAGAACTTTGCCTTTTCTATGTATTACTTTAAAGTTACTTTCATCACTAAATATTACTTGCTTCCACTTCTCCAAAGACCACCCAGTTTTCTCTTTACACCACATTAATTTTGCCACCCAGTTTACACCACATTAATTTTGTGATTACTTTACACAACATTAATTTTGCCACCCAGTTTTCACACCACATTAATTTTGTGAGCCAACATAGCTGTATAATCACCAATTTTTTTCCTTAGTAAAATGCTTCTAACTGTATTTGACGAAATTTTCACGGTTTTCGTTGAATGCGTCGGTGAGTTCACAACAACTTAACCTCGGATTGGTTCTTATTTGACAAAATATTAGACTATTTTTGCGCACAGTAGTTTTTTTGAATTTCCTGATCCTGCATGACATTGTATGCCACCAGGTGTTTTAAATGTCTTTAGAGTATATCTGACTCAGTTCTCAGAATTTTTTAATTTTCTTGTTACTTCTTTATTACTAATCATTGAGCCATCTTACCAATTATTTGCTACTTTGTTACTTCGCTTACTGCTTTTCAATCCATCTCTATGTATATTTACTTTTAGGTCTTATCAAAGTATTTAGAAAGGTTTTACATGTGACTAAACTGGTGATCGTGACTTTATCCCATCTTAATTGTCAAACTAACATATAAATTAATAAAATAATTTTAAATAAAGGTTGGGTTGACAAGAAAGTAAAATGGAAATCAATTAAAATGTGCGCTAAATGTGTGTTAAATGGAAATCAATTAAACTGTGCTATCTTTTTTTTTTTTTTCTACTATGTTTTTTGTATTTCTTTGAAAAAAGTAAATTATTTAAAAAAATAACTAAATGTGAGCTTGTTAGTTGTAGTATGTAAATGTAAGTTGTAGACAAATAATAATCCTGTCGTTAAAAAAAGCAAAAAAAAAAAAAGTAAGTCTTGAGGAAAAATGGATGGATTTTTTAGGATGTTTTCAAAAAGAAAATCGAATTTTTTATTGCGCCTATGAAAACCTAACGGTCTTTCACAGAGCACAGCAAAGGAGCATTTAATCTAACAGTCTTTCACAGAGCACAGCGGAGGAGCATTTAATCAACGGTCTTTGACAGAGCACAGCGAAGGAGCATTTAATCTAACGGTCTTTCACAGAGTTCAGCGGAGGAGCATTTAACGAGGAAGTTCACGTCTTCGTTATTTAAATTGCTTTTTGGGTTAGAGCCGACATCGAAACTCTTGGATTCTAATCATTGTTACACTGCTGCCTAATGAATTTTTTCAGAGTATATTTTAAAATATTTTATTAAATTACGTTTTTTGCCGTAAAAGTGCAGAGAAAGATGACTTTTTAGACTAAAAAATAATAGTTAAATGTGATTTTCATTAATTTCTGTTTGTTTCTTTAAAATTATGAATTTGAAAAAAATATTTTTTTTAAGCTTCGGTACATTTTAAGTTATACCAATTTAAAGAATTTTTTTTTGACATTATTTTTTTTTTTTACTATTACTATTGTTGTTTTAGTTGTTCCTTCCTGGGGCACCTTAAATAATAATAATAAAACACCAGATAAAGTTTTTCAAACAGCTTAAATTAATGACTTGAGTTCAGATCATCATTTGGATTTAATTGAAGAGGATATTTTTATTAGCCAAAATCAAGAACAAATGATTCAGAAATAATAAAGGAAGATTAAAATTTTCAGTTTTCTGACCAAGCTGAAATGAATGACAATAAACTTCATTCAGAAATACCATATTTTCCACCAATATCAAGAGAAAATTTTTACACAGGGATTCAGCAACATGGCCTAAAGTAACGTAAAAAGTAAGTTGCTTTTGGGTTCAGCATGAGCCAGAGCAAGAGAGAAGAGAAATTTTCAAACACGCTGTGTGATTTTGACACCAGAATGCGACACTTGGGTATGAAAAAACTACAAAGGTGATTAAATATGTTTGTTATTGGTTAATGTACAGCAATAAAGAAGAACCATTATTTGCTTTTGCTGTTTGTTATTTTAACAGCGAAAACCAACAATTTCTTAGAAATTTCGATAGAATTTTGTAATGGAAAAAACTAAACCCAATAAATCATGAACATGAAAATAGCATTGAACACCAAAGATGCTATTCTGATCAAAAAACCTATGATAAAAACCTTGAAGAAGGAAAGACCATGGATTATTATCTGCAAAGAGTTATCCATGGAGAGATGAAAAAGTAGAGAAACATTTTGATAGTGATTGTTAAAGCATTTTTTTTCTGTGCAAAGAATAATCTCGGCCTTCAGTGCACAATATAAGTCGTTGGTTAACAAAAGATTGTGGGAATTTTCCTGAACTTGATTGAGTTGATAAGCCATTATTATTTTAGTCGCTGAACACATTGCGTCTGTTAAAGCAAAGAAAGCCGCAGTAACCTACTTTTTAAAAAAAGAAATCACAGAGTTGGAACAGTAACAGAGACCACTGAAAAATTAGAGTAGGATGTCTAAAGATTTACAAAAATGGAGCGAATATGTTTAAAAAATACAAAGGCGTCCAAGCTCACATTCTTTCTCTCTGTGATTCAGTTTGAATTTTGTTGGTGTCCATTCTACTAAAGTTTCCCCAATCATGATTACATTTTATGGGAAAGTTCAATTCATCTTTAACTTTTGTTTAAATTTTTCATTAAGATGGGAAAAACTGATAAAAACATTGACATTCTTATTAAAGGGAAATAGTGAAACAAGGTGACCTGCTACAAAAAAAACCGATCAGACGATTGCACAGATAAATCAAAAAAGTTCATTAAGTGTTGAAATCCATTATCGCAATCCCATGATAAATGCTGTCACAGTTTACAAAGCTCTTATCATTATAATTAATTTCAGTTTTTTGTGTTTGTTGGATTTCTGGTGTCAAATTCTTTCTTTAAATGACTGGGAAAACAGACTGCTTTAGAATAAAACATTTCAATTGACATTGCAGTAAAAAAAATCAAAGGCTTGAAGGCTTCTATTTAAAATTTGAGAGAAATTGGGATGGACAATATCATCAAAGATGCCGTAGAAACAGCCAACCAGTGTGGAATTGAAGGTAACTTTCCAATCAAGAAAAAGCGCAAAGTAAAAAAGCACTTTATAAAGCTGAAGACAATTTGCACCTTCTCACAGCTTAAACAGAATTTGGACTCCAGAGCAACCTTATAGCATTATTACACAAATTGAGTGGCGGTTTAAAGCTGTTTAATGTCTGCTTATTCCTCCGATTTTGACTTACTCTGTGGGCATTTACTCTCTAATAGTTCAATTGATGAACTTAACACAAAAGCCAGAATTTATTTTAAATTTACAAGACAGATTTAGATCATTCTGATTTTTAGTCAGAAATATTTTTAAATATAAAACTGCTGTAATTGATAGAAAACTTCAAAATATCCAATTGACAAAATCTAGCCCAATTGACATTTTGCTGCTCGTTTAAGCATGCACTTTTTGCCCCTATAAGCATGCATACTTTTAAATTATAAGCATGTATAACTATATTAGTTAATGATGGTTTTTTAGTTCTAATACTTTTAGTTAACATCTAAATATAAATGCAGCACATTCACTGATTAAGATTAATAAACAGATTCTATAAAAATAATATTGAAAACACTCTTTTCTTGCTTTTTTACAAGTTAAATTAAAATTAGAATGCATATTGGTTGGACAATAGACAATAGACCCTTTGAGTATATTTGGTTGAGAAAGCCTAAAGTGTTTTCACAAGTTAAAAATGAAGGCTCTTTTAAACAACTAATATTCGAAATATCTTCCATACAATTTTCATTCATTTCATAAGCTTCACTTTTCACCGGTTCTTGATCTTTTAACCAGAAGAATGAGAATCTTAAAGAAACAATTTTCACAGTCTAAATTTTCACAGTCTAAATTTTAATTGTAAATGATAAGTATCTGATAAGTAAATAAAATTTTGTATTGCAGTATAAGATCAATGCTTCTTCGAGTGCCAAGTATTTTTAGTTTGTAATTGTAACAAAAATGTTTAATAAACATTTTCGTACAGTTTTTCCATTGCTAGAGAGCTCTGACACCAAAATGACTTCTTGAAACAACCAAGCATTTGATTGCTAACCCAAGCTGCTGCTTCTACTTGTATTTTGAGGTTATTAGATTTTAGTTCTCCAAGGTCACACTCAATGTGTATTGAAACTAGATTGCGTTACAGTCAATTTCAACCATAGTATTATTAATTAGCTTTTGTGACAACCAACTTGCATTACTTTCCACATCTCGACGTTGAAATTCACAAGGCAGTTGTGCGACCAATTTACAGCGCTGTCAGTGTCCACTTGTAGTTTTTCATAATCAGAGAAAAATTCATTGACATACGATCCGTCATCATCGGCGTATAATATGGTATGTTTACAAATGCAGTCTGGAAAGTGATTGATGAAGAACACAAATAGCAGTGATACAAAAACTGATCCGTGAGGGACGCCACTTATCAGCCTTTTTCATTTAGACGTTTATTCTCCAATTATTACTTATTGATGTCCATTAGCCAACTAGAAATGCAGTTTAATAGCTGGCCTCAAATGTCATAAGCATCAATTTTTTAATAAGTTATTGTGTAACATTGCGTTGAATGCTTTGGCAAAATCATTTAAAATGTCAACTAGGTGTTCATGTTAAAACTGCTTTCGTTAAAATGTTACGGGATTTAATCAGGTTTGTAGGCGATCTTTGTGATATACAAATCCGTTTTGATACTTCGATATTAGATTGTGCACAGTGTTTCATAATCCAATTGAAGATAATTCTCTCCGCCAACTGGCACGGTATAGGTGAGAGATACCAGCTTTTAGTTAGAAGTCTTGAATTTGTTTTTTTTTAGGGTAGACATGATATTTGATTTTCGTTGAGATATATATTTATATATACATATATATATATATATATATATATATATATATATATATATATATATATATATATATATATATATATATATATATATATATATATATATATATATATATATATATATATATATATATATATATATATATAATATATGTATATATATATATATTATATATATATATATATATATATATATATATATATATATATATATATATATATATATATATATATATATATATATATATATATATATATATATGTATATATATAATATATATGATTATATATATATATATATATATATATATATATATATATATATATATATATATATATATATATATATATATATATATATATATATATATATATATATATATATATATATATATATATATATATATATATATACTTTATCATCAATAAAATTGTTAAAGTAGGCGTGCTTATAATTTGTAAATCGAGAAGAAATCGAACAGTGAGAAAGTTTCACAAAATACTATTTTATACAGTTATTTGAACGTTGAAGTCCGATTTAAAAACTAACTATTTTAAAATTATAAAATTATAAAATGCACAGCAAAATTATTTCTTATCAAAAACATTGATCACCGATTTTGTAAAAGTTTCCAAATGCAAAATCAAAACACATTTACGATAAATTTTTTAAAATTCCTTTTATTAGTTGAACTAATTTACTAAATAAAAAAAATCATTTTGTGAAGTTTTTTGTAAAACTTTTGTTAAAATTATCTGCTAAACAAACACGCTTTCGATTTAATTTAAAATTTACTAAGTTAATAATAAAACTAATTAATTTTTGAAAAAATAAATAAAGGTTAGTTTCCATTTATTCTTTAATTTAGGTATATGATAGAATCGAAAACCTAATACGAAATTTGAATTTTTGTGTAAATTGATGACCCGATAATAAATCATTGTTTTGAATATTTACGTAGCGTAAAAAACCAGTACATAAATATAATTTACTGCATTAAAGATATGTATAGTTTGACCATGTGGTTTATAAAATTTGCCTTGCGTAAAAAACAAGTATATATTTGTAATTTACTGCATTAAGCATATGTATAGTTTGGTCTTGTGGTTTATAATTTTGCCTTGTCGCCAGACGACATCGCAAAATGGGATCAAGATTGAGTGCATATGTTTTTGTGTGTACTTTTATGTTATATTTTAATGTATTTAGTTCTAGTTTTATGCGTAATTCCTATGTTTGTTTTTAATAAAAAGTTATATTGTTTATAAAATTTTATTTATTATAAAAATTAGGAAGTGTGCACAGGGCCATCCCGAGTGGGGGAAGGGGGCGTAGGGGTGTCTAACCTCCCTACGAATTTTATTATTCGGTAACTGGACACTAATTTGCGTCGGCAAAATTAATTCTATATATAGCCGGCAGATGTCGGCCAACGAGGACCTTCTTTTTTTTTTTTAGATAAGTTAGGCGGCAAAACATTTTTTTTGGCTTTAGTCGGCAAAAAGCAGATACGTCACCACACTCCTCCCTCATTAAAGTCTCTTCGGGATGGCCCTGAGTGTGCACACATAGACTCACTTAAATATGTATATTAGGCAAGGAGGGTACATAAATCAACTGACTAAATAGGTAGAACATGCAAGATATGTACATACATCGACTGACTTAAATAGGTAAAACATGCAGAGAGTGTTCGTACCCTGACTAAAGGTTGCGGTTTGGGCAGGCAATAAGTTAAAAAAATAGTTTGTGTTAAAAAGTGTTTAAAAGTCAAGGTAAACACTTATTTTGTTATATTCGGGTCATCAATTTTCACAACTCGTTCCCTTATTCTAAGGGAACGAGTAAAAAATCACGTGAGCATGCTTCGGACAAATTAATACGCATATTTACAATACGCATGCTCATGCAATTACCTTTCCCTTCCTTTTCCTGTTGCGGTAGAAAAAATGATATGTGGAGACTGACCTTAAATCTACAAAAACAAAAAAAGCTTTTAACAGTAGAAAAAAATTCATTTAAATAACTCTAAAATAAAATTAAAATAAACTTCCGCCTCTTTTAAATTCCTTAATAAAAAATATTTAAAAAGGATTTATTTAAAATATGTAAGCGCATTAAATTGGAGGTTTTTTTAAAAAATAAATTTAGATAAATGAAGATGAACTTAAAGATGCAACCATTCTAATAAACAAGATCTCCCACAGGCCATGTCCGTTTCTGAAATGACTAAAAAACTAGGTTTACATAATCTTCTGTAATTTGCAATATTACATAATATTGCAAACATTTTCGAATTGAACTGAAGTTACTGAAAAGTATAACATAAAATAAAAATTTTAAAATGTCTTGTGATTTATCATTCTCTATATCATATTCTATCAATAGGGATAATTTAAAACCATAAATCCCTATTGTAGAGTAAAAGTTGTTATTATTATCAATATTATCATATTATCTCTACAATTATTAAAGTAATAAGTTAGCTCTATTGTATTGCAAACATGTTTTATAATTGTTGTTGTTTTTTTTTACGTTTGCTACGTGATATCAAGTATGTTTCGTGAATGAGATTCAGCACGTTGTGTTATACATTGACGTGTAAAGTTATGTGTATTGACGTGTAAAGTTATGAATTATATTTCTTAAACATGATAAGGCGACATTAAAAGAACGAAAGAACTACAACTTATTTTGCAACTAGGTCAGCGACAGTAAGAAGATTTTTTTTTTATCTGTACCTTAAAATTTTCTTCCTCGAGTTGCGAGCCTTGAAAAAGCTTTTCTGGTATCAAGTATATTTGATCCAACTTTAATGATTTTCGTTTATAATGTAAAATTTCTCTATGTTCTGT